TGTGGCTCCCGCCTGCTGGACCGGCCTGTCTGAGGCTCATTTTTCTTTTTTTCCCTTTTTATTTTCTGTTTATATTTTATTCTATATTAAAGAAATCCGATGTTGCATATAAAATTCAAAATATCATAAATTATCATAAAAACAGTTCTTGAATTCAAAAATATTTGTGATCCAAAAGATTGAACAATTGTTATCTATCTGCCGCATGCAGCAGCAGATTGTCAACCAGCCGCAGACCCTATCAACAGAAACAGGCCGGCTCATCCTAGCATGTGGGAGCACTGGTTTTGTGAACCTTCCGGAAAGTTCTTGACTGGTTTTGGCAACCTTCTAGAAGGTTCCTAAACCCATTTCTGTTCCTTTTCTGGTTCTTTGTTTTTGTTTTTGTTTTTTTTCCTTTTTTCTCAGTCAAAATTTTTTTCCTTTTTTTATCTTTTGATTTATTCTTGTTCTCCCTTTTTTACTTTTTAAAATTTGTATTTCCCTTTTTCAGAAATTTAAAATTGTATACAGATTTTAAAAAACTATTCCTCTTCTAAAATATGTTCAGAAATTTTAAAAATGTTTGAGATTCAAAATATGTACTGGAACTTTAAAAATGTTCCTGTATTTCGAAATTTATTCAGAAATCTAACAAGGTTCATATTTCAAAAAAATTCTGGAATTAAAAATATGTTCGCAGTTGCAGAATTCGGTCTGAAATGCAATAAATGTTCGTGGTTCAAAAAATGTTCATTGTTAGATATTTCATGAAATGTTCCATTTCTCGATTTTTGGTTCACAAATTCGGCAAAGTGTTAGTAGTTGCAAAATTTTGTATAAAATGCCAAAAAATGTTCGCATTTTATGAAGTGTTCAAGATTTCAAAAAATGTTCTCAGTTTCAAATTTTTGTTAGATATTTCTTGAAATGTTCTATTTTTAAAATTTTTGTTCACAAATTCAAAAAATGTTCTTGATTTAAATTTCTTCTTGGAATTCCATGAAATATTCCATTTTTCAAATATTTGTTCCAAAATTTAAAACTGTTCTCGGTTTAAAATTGTGTTCAGAATTTCAGAATTGCTCACAACTTCAAAAAATGATTCACGTTTTTCAAAATCTTTTCTGCAATTTCAATTTTTTTTGGTCGCATATGGAAAAAAATGTAAGTGTAACGGCATTGTACGGAATTTTTCAAAATACAAACTTTCAGAAAGAATGCACACTTTTTTTAAAGATGTTCGCTGCAGTAACTAATTCCGGCTCGCTTCAGTAGATTAGTCCGG